AAAACGACAGCAACTTGTCTGTTCCCCTTTCCCCAATTCCCCAGCACTGTTCCCATCCCCCCAATTCCCCAATAAAAAAAAATCTTTAAAAAAAAAAAAAGTGTCACCTCATTGTCCTGTTGCTGAGTATGAAAAGCCAGCCATCATTCATAACATTATTCCTGCCTGTAATTTGTTTGGATACTTTCCAGGTTGGTTGTTTTTTTTTTTAATCTTTGGGTTTCAGCTTGTCATAATGTTGTGTTCAGGTGTGGTTTCCTTTGTATTTATCCTGCTTGGGGCTTTATGACATTCTTGAATGTGGAATTATCTATTTTTCACCAAATTTGGGAAATTTCTGGATATTATTCAAACAGGTTTTCTATTTCATTCCTTTTCCTCCCTTTTTGTAATTCTAATTACATTTGATAGACCTTTTGATATTATCACACATCACTGAAGCACTATCCACTTTTTTCAATCCTTTCTTCTCTGTATTTTAATGTATCCATGTTGTATCTATAATGTATCTTCACTGACTTTTCCGCTATCTCCAATTCACTGTTAAACCTATCCAGTTAATTTTTACTTCCAAATATTGTATTTCTAATTTTTACAAATCCCATTTCCAAATTTTTTTTATTCTTTGGCTGAAATCCCCATCTGCTCATTCATTAATCCTATTTTCCTTTTTATCTTTGGAATAATTATAATAGCTACTTTAACTTTCTTGTTTGCTAACATCAATATCTGGATTATTTTAGGATTTGTCTCAGTTGCTTTTTGTCTTGAATGTGGCTTATGTTTTGATTTTCATAAACCTAATAACTTTTACTGCATTCTATATGTTGTGAATAATTAATACATTGTAGAGACTGTTAACACCCCCGTGAATACTGACTTTTGTTTTAGTAGGCAGTTCACTTGGTTGAACTCAATCTCCAAAGTGTCTCTCCTGAGATAGGTAGAAGTTGAAGCCTTTACTCTGTTCTATCAGCCTTAGCTGGAATGCTTGGAGTTTGTCCAATACTTGCATATATACGGGATTAGTCAGAAATTTTGGACTTTAAGTGCTGGTGAAGGCTTAAAGAAAAGTGAGAAAAACCTTATCAGAAATGGGTTCTTGTTAAGTAGTGGCAGAATGTTCAGCAACCTATTATTTGTAGTTAGTGTTGAAAATAGAACTGGGTGATCTAGCTAAGGAGACTTGCACCAATTTTTTTTTTTTTTTACTGCTTATAGAAACATGCAAAAGGAGAGATAAAAAAAAATTTGAGGAAAAGGCTGTTAACAAGTAATGATCTCATGGTTTTGAAAATCCGTAGCCTCTACTAATGGCAGATGATGCTAAAATCAATAAAAGGCTTCTAGGCAAAGACAAAATCCAGAGTACTGCTAGGAAACTGTCTTGAGAAAAGTAAAGGAGTCTGTAAAATATTCTGTTAGAACATCAGAAAAATCAAAGCTGGTGTCTCCAACTACTATTTAATCACACAAAGGCTCTGGAAAGAAATTAAAGAGGACATTCACAGATACTTTGATTAAAATGACAAGGCATCTAAGAAGCTTACCTCAATGAGATTCACGGCTGTGGCTTTTGTCCAATGAGATTCACATGAAGTCCATACCATTTTCAAGAGAATTAGCTCAGCAGAAAACTTCCAACTTGGAGTGACAAGGACAGAAACTACAAAATGAAGAGACCACTGGATTCCCAAAATTTGAATGTCAGTCAGCAAAATTAGAAAACTACTGAACATCAAACATATGGCAAAACCAAGAGGCCAGAGGGTGGAGAATTATTTCTAGGCCTTGGGACCTAATCAAGGACTTTTCAAACATTTTTCTGGCCAGATTTCAGAATTGCTGTGCACCACTGACTTCATTCTGCTGGCTGAGGGTGGGGTAGATAATTTTTTCTTTATTTCCAAAGTTCTACAAATCAAGTATCTACAGCTAATGAGCCTCATCAGTATCTAGATCTGATTTAATGGACAATATTCTTCACTTTGAGCTAATGCTGAGACGAGACTTAGGGAGAGCCCTGGAAGGGGGTGAGTATATGTTGCATGTGGACGGGACACGAATCATTAAGGACCACAGGGCAGACAATAATAGGCAGCCATTAAGATGGTTCCCCCAATGATTCCTGCCTGCTTTTACTCATCTCTTTCGTAATCCTTTCCCCTTAGAAGTGAGATGGGTCTACTGACCCACTTCTAATGAACCAAATACAAAGATCAAAGGATGTCACTTATAATATTAGGTTACAAAAGACTCTGACTTCCATCTTGGGTACTCTGTCTTGCCTGCTCAGTTTCAAGAAAGCCAACTGCCGCGCTGTGAGCTGCCCATGTGGAAAGAAATTGATGTCCCCAGCCAAGTCATTGAGGATCCTGGATGAGCCAGTTTAGTTGAGTGAGTTTGGAAGATGATTCTCCTCCAACAAAAACTTCAGGTGACTACAGCCTAGTGAGAGACCCTGGAAACCAGAGGCACCCAGCTAAGCCATACTGGAATTCCTTACACTGAGAAATTGTGATGATAAATGTGTTTGTTTTAAACCACTAAGCTTTAGGGTAAATTGTTACACTATAACTAACTAACATACCATCACAGTTCTTACTCCATAATCAGTGAGTTAAAATAGGGATTCTATCAGTAGTCAAAGATACCATGTTGATTAGAATTATAATAGCTGCTATTACGATTAAAACCTAAGTGTTATTACCTTAATACATATAGGTTTTTCACTCATATATACTCCATTGCTATCCCTGGGTGACTGACTGATGGGTTTTCTCCAAGTAGTGGTTTATGACCCAGAGTTCTTCCATCTCGTAGCTTTGCCATTCTATACAATTAACAGTCTTCTTTTCCCAGCTGGACAGTATCAACTCTTCTTAATAACCGAGCCTCGAGTGACATGTCACCCCTATTCAAACCACACTGAAGAAAATTAATGTAATAGCCACAACTAGAAGCAGTAGTGGCTGACTAATGTAGGTGGTGGTGTCTGGACAGTCACGTTCCAGAATCAATTCCAGACAACAGAAAAGAAAGCATAAACTTTGGTGGTCATCTAGTCATATTATACATAGAATTAACAAATACATACTCAAGACCTTGGAAAATAACCACAGTGTGGGTTTGTGGTCACTGGACCTGCTATATGCTACATTACATAAGAATTCCCCCATAAGCTCTCACTCTACATAAAGTCAAGTCTTTTAGGAATTCCAGTGGAAACGTTCACAGTGATTTTAATTACAATCATTCAAGAATGCTCAGGGGCCGGCCGAGTGGTGCATTGGTTAAGAGCTGGCTTGGGATGCCAGCTCTGAGCAGCAGGCCCCCAGTTCGGATCCCACATGGGGGCCAGTGACACTGCCCTCTACAACTAAGATGGTGAACAACTCGACCTGGAGCTGGGCTGCTGTGAGTCGCCGGTGACGACATAGGCTGCAGCCCCTGCTGCAGTGGGTTGCAATGGGCTACCGTGTGTAGCCAGCAGCCGGTGTGAGCTGCCAAGAGCCGCTGTGAGCAGCCATCCAGAGGCCGGCAACTGATCTGCCTCACCCAGGAGGAGCACAATGATAATACCAACATGGGCCAGTGAAGCGATGTCCTCCACAACTAGACTGAAGAACAGAAGGACAGCAGCTTGTCTGTTCCCCTTCCCCGATTCCCCAACGCTGTTCCCCTCCCCCAATTCCCCAATAAAATCTTTAAAAAAAAAAAAAAAAGGAATGCTCAGTTCCCTTTCTATGGACTCAAGTCAATGTGGGACTTCGATACCATGCCATGGAGTGTTTTTAATTAAAACAGAACCCAGGTGTAGTTTCAACCATTAGGATCAATTACTAAGTACAATGGAAATATCAATTATCAGAACATTCTTGGAGTTCTGAGGTTTATTATGGCCATTCAGTTTCTTCTCATGGTTAACTATGGCCCCATAATTCAGCTACTACACATCACATAGTTCAATACACTTTCCAAATGCAATTGCTCTCATTATTCTTAGTACCTAGAGGACAAGACATAAGAAAAAATTTAAGATGCTGGTGTGTCTTTCATGTCAAGAAAACATGTTAAGGCTGCTACTAGACCCTGACAGGGGACCTTGCAAAAGATGAGCCAGGGGCATAGACTTAAATCATCCAATCTACCATCATGAACTCTTGTCCTTATATATCATGCATAGTAATTCCTAACCCTCAAAACACATTTCCAAAAACATTATCTACATTTTTGATGGTATAATTAGTAAAGGATATTAAGTATTTCGGGATGAGATTAATCTCTTCCTTATCTTTCTGTCTTTCAAACTGTAGGTCATATTGAACTCAGATTTTGGTTATTAAGTAATAATGGTGAGACTAGAAGATCTGACTCAAAAATTAAGAGTCACAGGGAGGTTTGTAAGAGTAGTAACTCTTAAGGTTTGAGTTAAAAGTTTTGAGATGCTTGAATCCTTCGTGACAGCCCCATCCCAGTAACATGGATTCAAATCTCTCCCAAGACTTCAATTTCATTTAAGAGAAGTAGCAAGGCTAAAAATTCAATGAAGCCTCATAGCTCAGCCACTAACTGGATCTGCTGTTGCATCTGGCTTCCAGCAATGGCAGCCCCATGATCAGAAGTAACATGATTCCCAACACACTAAGAAAAAAGCCCTGTTTCAATTTCTTGCTTCAAGTCAAAATTTCAAGTGGACTTTTACTTGTAATTATCTAATTTCATTATGAAGAAGCATCACTTATACTTTTTGAACTAGCAGTTCTCATCATCTCTAGTTTTTGGTAAGAGGATCCAGCCCCTAATGCAAAACAGGCTTATGACTCTGTTATACCATGAAAAATCTTTTCTAGTACAAAACAGGATTACAAGTTTCTCTGTCTTTTGATCTATCTCATTAAAAAAAAAATCAATCCTTAACACTCTGCTTCTCTCCAGTCTGACAACCACTCTGGTATGAATTCCTATATGGGCTAGTTTCCTATAGTTGAAACATGATGACTCTTACTTAAAATTAGAAGTTAAATATTGGAAGAATACCAGGCCCCTTGCAGATTTAAAGGATGGAACAAAGCTAGAATGTGAGAAAGAAGAAATTATTTTAATGGATCAGAGTGATAGGTAGAGAGGCAGAAATCTATAGGCTGCTGCCAAAGGATGACTCAATTCCAACTACTTCCAGTCCAGGAGTGACATTCCACATACAGCTGGTACAATAAGAACGCCAACCAATCAAAATGAATACTGACTGAAAGAAAACACCCAGTAGGGACATACATAAAGCCATATATCAGCCCTGCTCCTGTCCCTGTACATCCAAACAAAATATAAAGAATGAAAAACCTGATTGGCTTAATTGGAGCCATGTGTGACTGGCAGTTCACCACAACAATATTGAATAAAGAAAGTGAAGGTGCCAATAAAGAGCTAGGAAAATCTGTGTGTTAAAGATGAACAGATTTCAACATACATACTGAAAAAAATATATATATATACACACACGCACATACATATTCAGGCAAAGATATATAAATATAGTCAATATTAATTTTGACTATAACTACAAGATTATTTTACAGATAGGTTTTGCAAATCACATATTTCATTTATATACTATGGATGGACAACTCTCCATAGAAGCATATATAGAGCTTAACTTCTTTCTACTGACTGGACAACACAGTACTGAATAATCACAATTTAATTAATCTGCTTGGAAGAAAACTGAAATTCTATTTGTCATAATTAAAACAACTCTGCAATAAACATTTACATCTACCTACTTATTCCAATGGGATAAAACCCCTAGATCTAGAATTACTGCTTCAAAAGAAATGCACGTTGATAATGTTGATAGGTCATGCCGCAATGCTTTCCAAAAAGGTACAAGACAAATTTACACTGCTAATGATGAACAAGTACCTTTTGTCCCACACTGATGCCAGTATCGGATATTATCCCAATTTTAGATTTTAATTCATCTAAGAGCCAAGAAAACTTGTTTTAATTTGTAATTTTCTGATTAGTGAGGTCAAGAATGTCACAAAATTTTCTTCATTTATTTGAATTCTTCAACTGTGACAGGCCTGCTGTTATGCACTGTCACTTTTTTCCCACTACTTTATGTGTAATAGCACTTTGTTCCTAAATGACTATTTTTTCATATGTTATATGTATTTTCTGTCAATTGTCTTTTACATCTTTTTAGTGCCTTTTATCATGCCAAAGTTTTAAATCTTTGTATAGGCCAACTTACTCTCTTCCTTATGTCTTCTAGGACTCCATGTCCTACTTAGTAAATCCAACTGTGGTATATACAGTTACATTAAATTTCTCTGCAAGGTGTAAATGTGTTTTTTTGGGGCGGAGGAGGGGTTGGGTGGAGTGGACAACCAACTGTTAAAACATCATTTCCCCCAAAATAAAAAGCCAGTCTTTTTATTTACCAAAATCTCAACTATAAAGAAACCTACTTCAAAAATGTCCTTCTATGCTCACCAAAGTATCCCTCATGCTGTTTAAACTAAAACTGTCAAAGTAAACATATCCTACTCGGACTCTGTTGTGAAAGACGATTTAGAAACATTTTAATAGTACTGAGTATTTCATCTAGAAAAATATCTTATTTCTCCTATTTGTTATTGTTTAAAATGGTTTGATAATTTC